CTACAGGTCACATGGCCCAGTAGCCAACTTACAGCCCAACCCAAGTTGACAACCCTAAGTGCTTGACAGTTGACACTTGACACCCACCTCCACTCCCGTATTCCCTATTTCCCTCACTTGCCTTCTCCGTTCCTCTCTTCCTGGCGGCCACCATCAGTCCGTGAGGCGTCGAAGGACGGGTCTCGCTGACGACACGACTCCAGGGGCCAAGGCTCGCGTTGTGCCTGCCATTCCCACCTCGCCGGTCGCCATTCCCCACCCCGCCGGCCACCGGTCGTCACTCCCCACCCCGCGCGTCGATGGCGCCCGCTGGAGATCATGCTTCCGCTCCTGGAACGAAGGGGGGCAAGGGGAGCAAGCCCAAGACGAGGAGTGTGCGTAGCCTTCTAGAGCCGCCGCCCGTACAGGCTGCAACGACGTCTCCAACAGCAGGTTCGTCTTCCTACCACTAAATTCATTTTCGTTTGTGCACTGCTATTCATCAGGCAAATGTAGAGTATTTAGTTTCGTTTGTGTACTGCTATTCAGTCTCCGCCCACTGCTATTTGGAGCACAAATTTAAATGCAATGTGTCTGTCTACCCAATCTGTGTTAACCTTTAATGACATTTTAGACCACTTTTTGACCACTATAAACAAGTTGGACTGCTTTAAGTGAGCTTACCAGGTTCCAAATTAATGTATGTGTCGCTATTTGCATGCCTATCCCATCCCATGATGTTATGTTAATAACCTGAACCCTACCAATAGATGTTAAGGTGATTTGCCGTCCGTGTATCTTTTTGCTAGATTATTTTTTTTCTAATTTAGCAATGTTTCACTTGGCTGTTGGTAGGATCAGGGAGTAGAAGGGAAGCATCTCAAAGTGTTGCATCTAGTGGAACTTGTGAAAGTCCAGCTACAGTAGCATCAGTGCTAGGATCAGTGGCAGCATCAGTTCAGAGTGATGCAACAGAGCAGGTTCAAGTGCCAATTAATGTCGACAATGATGAACAAGAGGATGATGAGCAAGCTCGCCTTTCTGGCAAGAGGTTTAAGAAATTGACATCGTGGGTCTGGAGTTATTTCACCAAGAAAAAAGAGTATGTAGAGATGGAAGGAAAGCTAGTTGAGGAGTTGTGGGGACACTGCAATTTCTCTAGGTGAGAGCAGAAATACAGAGCAGAGGGCATCAATGGCACAACTTCATTCAAGCACCATTTACTTTCAAAACACAGTATTGTGAAGGGACAACAACAGCTTAAAGTTGGTAAGAACCCTGGTTCTGAAATTGCTCATGTTCAGCCTTACAGATTTGACCAAGAAGCTAGCTTGAAGAAATTAAATTTGGCAATAATCATGCATGAATATCCTTTCAATATAGTTGAGCATGAGTATTTGGTTGATTTCATCAAATCTCTCCGTCCTAGCTTTCCGATAAAATCCCGTGTCACTGTTAGGAAAGAAATAATGGACAGATATCTTGAAGAAAAGGAAACTTTGTATGCATACTTGAAGACTATGAAGTGCCGCTTTAGTGCAACAATGGATATGTGGACCTCATGCCAAAACAAAGGGTACATGTGTGTTACTATTCATTGGATAGATGATAATTAGCATATGCAAAAGAGAATTATTGGTTTTTTCAATGTAAAAGGTAGGCATACCGGTGCAAAGTTGTCTGAAACATTCACTGAAGTTATGGTTAAATGGTACATTGAAAATAGACTGTTTGCTCTGACTTTGGATAATGCTAGTTCAAATGAAGTAGCTGTCAATGATATAATTTCAGATCTGAAAGACAATGGTAATGGTTCCCTAGTTTGTGATGGGATATTTTTTCATGTAAGGTGTGCATGCCATATTCTGAATTTGGTTGCTAGAGATGGGTTGAAAGTCATTTCAGGAACACTCAGCAAGATCAAATCACTTGTATTAGCTGTGAAAGGGTCTCTATTGCAGTGGAAAGAGCTTATGAAGTGTGCCACTGAAGCTGGGTTGGATACAAAGAGGGGTATTCAAATGGATGTTTCAACAAGGTGGAACTCTACCTACCTAATGCTGCGAGATGCCTTGTACTACAAGGATGCATTTATTAGGCTGAAGTCTTCAGATCGCCGTAAGTATGCCAAGATTTCTCTATCTTCGGCTGAATGGGACAATGCATTGACAATTTATGGTTGCTTGAAGAAATTTTATGATCTCACTGAAATTCTCTCTGGCACTTCATACCCTACTGCAAACTTATTTTATAAAGGTTTCTGTGATATCAAGGTCTTGCTTGATGAGTGGCGCTATGATGAAAATATTACAATTAGAGAAATGGCAATTTCTGTGAAGTCAAAATTTGACAAATATTGGGATCAGTCCAACATTGCTCTAGCTGTAGCCTGTTTTCTTGACCCTAGGTATAAGAAAAGGCTGATAGAATACTACATGAAGAAGTTCTATGGTGGTTATTATCAAGCTGAACTTGATGAGTTTGTTACTGTGGTAAAGAAACTGTACAACTTTTATGTTAATATTGCTGCATCATCAAAGAAAACTAGAGAAGGGGCTGCACCCAGACCTAGTAACACAACTGATATATTAATGGAAAATATAGACCATGACTTAGAAGAATTCTTATATGAAGCAAGTGAACTTGGTATGGTTGAGTCAAATGAGCTGGACATGTATATTGGAGAACCACTACTGAAACTTAGTGGTGAGTTTGACATCTTAGCATGGTGGAAAAACAAGAGAGAGCAGTATCCTATCCTTTCACAAATTGTTCGGGATGTAATGGCCATACAAGTGTCAACAGTAGCATCCGAGTCTGCTTTTAGTGCTGCTGGCCGTGTTGTTGATCCCTATCGCAGTCGGCTTGATCCCGAGATGGTACAGGCATTAATTTGCACAAAGGATTGGGTTGCTGCAGCAAGTAAAGGTGCTCATTTTACTTGTTTTTTTTTTTGGTTTGATACTTGTAATTGCAACAGAAATGCATTGAATTTTTGTTTTTTTATTTTTTTTTTTCAGATTCTAAAAAGCTTGGATCAATTGTGAGTGATCTTGAGGTTGACGCTTTAACTAATGTTGTGGCTAAACTGAAAATTGAGGTATGTTTATTGACTGTTTCCTCTGGTAGTATTGGACTTTGTTGTAATCTTCACTAGTTATGCCTAGCATATGTGTGGTAAAGAAATTGAGGATGCTGGCTCCTGCTTTTGTGAAGTTGCAGTGAATTAAAATGTTCTAAGTGTTAGCCTTTGATTGTTCTACCTATTTTCTTTGTTATTCCAGAAGCATGTCGAGCTATTAGTATCTTTTAATACTAGACCTGAGAACTTGGGTGAAAATTTTTATTATGCAGAATTCGATTTTAACTTTATATTGGTGTTGAGGACAATTTTAATTAACTTTTACAAACTTGTAGGAAAATAACAAGGAGGGAGATGAGGACAATGAGGTGGACAATGAGGAAGCAAAGGACATGGAAAGTGATCCTGACATCATGGATGATGCTGATGAACTGTAGATGTTTGTGTCCTATTAATTGCTTCATTGCTTGTTCTAGACTTTTGAGTTATGATGATACTTAAGGTCATGCACCTTTTAACTATTATGTGCACTTGAACTAAATCATGCACTTGTTAGTTTGGTCATTCACATGTTTAAAGTTGTGCACCGTGGGTCGGTATTTCGTATTGAATTTTCGTACACCGGCCGTGTTCGACATAATTCTGCTCGAATTGATTCGTTTTCGAAATACCATAAGTTCGTTTTTGTTTTCGTTTCCGGTTATACCGTTTCCGCTTCCGCGTTCGTATTCAAATATAAAAGTAGAAAACAATAGAGGAGCTTTTCGACCGTTTCCGACCGATTTCATCCTTAGTGGCATATCCATGACCTTGATAAAAATGAGGCTTCAAAAGCCTCGATTCAACTTTCAACCTATATATTATGGTGGCTTTGAAAGTCTCAAAATTTATGGCAATTCGAATGAAGCTTCAGGTCGGCTCCTCTCAGTGTCAATGCAACTGTTCTAGATTGAACTGAATTTGAGGTTGTGCACCGGCCAAGTGGTTCTGTAAGAAGAAGGCAATCCTGAAGATGTTTCTAAGATCGGTGGATCAGCGGAAGTCATTGTGTCTGTGTATGTCCTTATTTCTTTGTTGATTTGTTAGTTTTCTATTTAGAGCCTAAGAGCTTGTTTGTTTTTTAGATGAGATTTGACTAAATTAATACGTAGTAGGTGGATTGTACTGTGTGGATTAAAATATGGATTGTACTGTGTGGATTAAATTAAACTTGTGTTTGTTATTTATGATTGTAATTTGGATAAGATAATTTTATAATTCCAATAGCATTTGTTTCTAGGGATAATTCACAAGATAAAATTTACAAAGTCAATTATACCCCTTTAATATTTTAATATTAAAGAAAAACCCTTTTTCTTTCTCCATGAATTCACCCACCACCGCCACCTCCAAACCTCCATTGTCCTCTTTCTCCCAAATTCTTGTGCGAAAATTCTACTTTGTTTTTCTATTTTTTTTCTTTGTTTTTTTATTTTCCTTTTAATACTAATCACTAATCAGAAGCTTCTATTGCCTCTCTCTCAAACTCTGTATTTGTGACCGTCTTTTATTTACGCTTGATCATGCTAGATCTGCTCTTCCCTGGCGGTGGCCTCCTCATCGTGGAGGAGCGATTCTGAAAAGAGAGCAGGTAAAGATCGTGGCAGCGTTGGCTGTGTGTAGAAAACAATTTTGGATTGGAGCATGTGGAGATCGTGAAAGCGATTCCTTATTTTATTTTATTTTTCAAAAAAGGAAAATTGAAATGGAGTTGGTGAAGAAAACAAGCAGCATCAGGCTTGCTAGTGCTTCAGGTGCTCTTCCATGTCGGCGGCCCCCTTGTCGCAAAGGAGCAGTAATGGAAAGTTTTATAACATATAAAATTTTGGGGACTAAATGGGCATTTTCTACCTGTTGCACGGTAGGGATAGAAATTATCACCTTTCACATGAAATCAAATAGTCGTGAATATGTAAGATTAATGACTTTTTTATCTCGGACCGAACTTTATCTGCGGGCTTTAGTCTTGCATACCAAACGAAGGATTGCCCCACTATTAATGGGGTAATCCTATCTAATCATGCCAAACAAACGTGTCCTAAGGTTTCAGTTGTATTCTTAACTACCTTGGTTTCTTAGCCTTATTTGGTCCAGTTTAGGCCATCTGAGTGCGGTTCTCTCAGCTTTTTTGGACTTGGTCCGGGACTCCGGGTGTATTCAAACTGTGGTTTGGTGGTTTATCCGAGTGATGCTATCGTTCTGACAAACAAAAAAAAAAAATATAAAAAAAATGTTAAAACTTCAAAAAATATATGAAAAAAATACAATTTGATTTATTTTATGCTATATTTTTTTCGCACATGCTATTCCAGTAGGGGTTGGATCAAAGGTGTTATGTTGGGCTCCTGAAGTTTCATTGTGTGTGTGACTAAGAGGCCGAGGAAAGCAGAAATAGCTGGAACAAGGCCCAATCCGTATCTGCTAATGGAAAAGAAATTATGCGGCTGGTGACAACTACGCACTTGTGGCACAGAACCTGCATTGGGAACATATAATATAAGCAATTAAGCATTGAACAAAAACTAAATTGTCATATATGTTATGTTGCCTTCTTTTTCTTTTTCTCATGAAATATTGGTGAACAGTGAGGTTAAAGTGCCTCAGAAGAACTTACTTTGATATGATTCAAGAACACTCAACGCCAGTCCACATAATATTTTGTCGAGAAAGCTCAACGATCCATAAACAAAGGCACACCCATTGAGATCTTCACCAACTAGAAAACTCTGCATGCTAACTCCTGACACCTGTCATCCCACAAAGATCCATCCTTCAAAGAGTTTACCAAATTTCACATAAATAAACAAATGCTGAAAGAAAAAAAGAATAAAAAAAATTGTATACTTTCTTTTCGAATGTTGATAACTAATTTCTTGACACAAAATATAAGGAATTTATTAATGTTCGTCTTCCTCACCATCATCAACGCATTTGCAACCCCAATCACTATCGATAAAATGTACATAAATGCATTCATGCTGCTCGGCAGAAAGAGAATCACTGAACCAGAAACTATCCAAAGAAGGCCTCCGGTGGAATAGAAAGCCTTCAAGCGCCAGCCATCCCACGTGATCTCCTGCATTTATGTATATTTCGATTTATTTAAGGCGCAGCTCACAAGAAAATATAATATAACTATATAAGCATTTCATATGGCATTTTGTCTTCAAGTGTACCTGCAGAAGGATTGATACAACGAAGCTGCATATATAAATGACGGCAGGGACCTGGGAGAAAAGATTTAAAAACACGTTTATCAGAAAATGAAGTTTGCATGCTTGTGAAATCACATAGAGTTAACACTTATGATGAGGAGAAATTAATATGTCGTACCAAAGCTTTGGAAGATTGGGTCATCTGCAGATCATTAATGACGTAGAAGGCAAGAAATGCCTGAGCAGCCAAGCAAACATTAGCAGATAAATAATGAGGTATACCAATAATTGCGAAAAATAGTCGAAATATTGCAGAAAACGATGCTATGCTAACCTGTGAAATATTTGTGATGAGTCTAGTTAACACATAAACAAGTGCCACTTGGTAGTACAATAACTTTTTAAACCAGTAAGTCCAAGAAATTCTGGCGTGACCTTTTTCATGAGCTTGCCTTTTCAATCTGTCAACAAGGTCATGGTAAAAACTAATAACCAAAAAAAAAAAAAAATGCCTAACTTTCCATTTTGAGCTGCGCACAAGATATTAATTAAAAACAGCTCAAAAACTCATCATAATGATTATCACATGCGACAAACCTTGGCTCTGCGGTACCAAGATGAAATATGCCCACAAAACAACACCCAATGAAGATTGATGAATATGCTATCCAACGGTACTGGAAAAATTATTGCGAGGTGAGAAAAAAACCCAAAGAAAGTTATAGAAAACCAAAATTTAAACACTAATATCTTATGCACCTGATTCTCGACATCAATAACTGACCCGCTCGAGTTTATATGGAACACCACAAATGCAACGGCGTATAGACTGAGATTTGCAATCTTCAGGGAAGAAAGATGAACGATTACAAGTTAAAAGGTCAATGAATGAAAGCACAAAAAAAAAAAAAAAATGGTTTAAACTAGAAAAGCAGAAATAAAGTTGGTACCATTGCAAATGCATTTCGACAGCTTGCCAAAACTACTCTGCTTGTAGAGTTTAAAGTAATGCAGTTCACCATGGACCTAACAATATAGGAAGCAGACTGAATCATTATTAATTATTTATTACTTCAGCTCCAAGAATATAAAAGCTAAAATTCAAGTCAATCTGTTTGAAGCACATTCCACAAAACCAAGAGTGAAAGATTTCCATTACATGTGTGAAACTTGAGTAGCAGCCCAGCCTATATTGAAAATTGCAGCAAAAAAGCTATAGCCAATGGTCTGCATTGAAGACGAATTGGAGCCCACAATTTTGCAAGGCAAGCAGCCACCAAAAACTGAAGAAAATGAAACAGCAACTAGAACAGATCCCGCTGCATGCCATACTTTAAAACGTCCGTACCTGTCTATCTGTTATGAAAATCAGAAAAAATAAAACATTTAAATAGTTGTAATTAATACTCTAGTCTTAGGATTCTCTAACAATACACCACAAGAGAGATACTATTCGCAAACATAGATATGCATGTTCAAAAGATAATTGTCAGTAATTGTTGTTTCCAAATCAATTTGAGAACATTGAGAAAATAATGGCATGAAATATGATTTTCACTTGTATATATATTTTTTCTCAGTTCTTCCGTGAGACGGTGGACTAACTAACAGCAGTTCACTTGGGCCTGTGCTAAATCTCCAAGAATAACTTCACCTAATAGAAATATTTCTCAACCTAATTATTATTTGAAGCTGACAGAAACCCACCAATTTCCCTTTTGCAGAGAGTCGATATGCCTTTATATGCAAGGTAAGCTATTGTTGAAATAGCATGGCCCAGTATTGTAATAAACTAGTCCACTATAACACTAAAACTCAATAATATATTATGCCATTGGTTTTTTGACTTTTCTTCTTCCAATCTTCCCTTAAAAACTTTTGTTGAAATCCAATTCAGTGAAGCTGGACGGACGGCAGATATTTCACATCTAACTTACCCAAAATAGCACTTTTGTAAGAAGATTAGTCAAACACTGATTAACACTTATTTATTAGGTTAATACATACCAGTTCACCAGCAAATATGGTTGTGAACCCATCGGCAATTTGACCAGAGAGCATGACTACAGCAGCNAAAAAACATGTCAGGACACAAAACTCAATCAGTAATAGCTTAGACAAAATTCACCAGTATAGTGTATAGTGGACTACATTTTCATAGTTTACAAATCGTATTCTGAAGATTAACAAATGCTCTGTCCTAGCTAATTCCTCATTTAGCTTCCATTAGGCAGAAAGCATTCGATACAATACGAACGGTCTCGCCAATACGAACAGTCTCGCCAAAACTCGCTAGCAGACATTAGTTATCATATATATCCAGATGAATTATCTCTGTAAACTCTAAAACGAGCAAAGAAAGAAGAGAAGAAGACAAGAGGATTTGAAACCTTGGGGGCAGCCCAATATCCGTGAGAAAGACCAATAGATAAGTGAACCAACAGGCAGATGTTACATCGTTTAGCATATGTCCCACACCGTAATAAAAAACCGAGCACCTTCCTAGGGGCTTGCTGCCTGATTCATCCTCCGCGGGGCCCCCAGCCATCCTGTTTAGAATCTGAAGATAATTAAGTGGCTAATTACATAATCCCAAAGAAAGAATGTGTTCTTTACATTACAAGAGAGGGTTGTATATGTGGGCACAAACCCATGATCCTTTTACATTCATTTCATTCATAATATTTGACAGTGAAACCTCTACCCAGGATTCTTCCCAGTTAAGACTCGGAAGAGACTTTTGTCTTTTTACTTCAATTTTTTATTTTGGATGAAGAAGATACCGTGATTATTCAACAAGCAAACCAACTTGAAGTGACCTCCATCTTTCACAAGCTGGAAATGATGAATTGATCGAATTGAGAGCCAAAATCTAAATAAAGTATCATGCTCCTGTTCTTGAAAGAGTTTTGTTCTAACATATTCGTAAAACTCAGCAAAGACAGTTACATTTCATTCGTGTTTGACATTCCCTCTTCAAAATGTCTAAAATTCTATGAGAAAGCACAGACACACACAGATGAGAGAGAGAATTTTCAAGACAGACAAGATGAACATGTACTGGGACATTTGCCACAATAAATTGGCAAAATTTGACATCTTGAAATAAAGTAATCCCATACCTCCTTGAATGTGCGTGATTCAGGTAGAGCTCATCAACCTATAGCGACAAAAAAAAGTGTTTTCAGATATTCTTCTTGCACTGGAAATAGATTGATGTGTAGAAAAGGAAACGACTTTGAGAGAGTAGTATATCAAGTATCAAGGCAAGGTATAAACTTCTTGTGCTCCCTTTTTCTTCGTGAATGTTAATTACTTGAAGACATTTTGCTCTCTGAAATCAAAACGAAATATAATAAATAGAGGATCACGCCTACGCGCCACCTATACGCAATACGTTGGGAACACAAATACATGTCAGAAACTTAAATTACCGTCATGCCCTTNTTAAACTCAAAACTACCAACGTTCGAGTACATCCGAAACAAAGAAAAAATAAATAAATAAAACTGGGAGACCCGCTCTAAGCGGTCTAGAGCCTCAACAACAACATAATAATAACATCACTTAGACCATCTAAAACTAATCAAGTTCCAGGTATGGAAATTGACCACTGCAGAATGTCTAGCCAATTTCCATTCCCCTATTCAAACAGACAAAATGTGCATGACTGCAACTACAAGAAAGAAAAGGAAAATAATAAAAGTTCCAAACATACTATTAGAGCATCTCCAATGCTCCACTTTGAACATTAATTAAATTTGAACACATGTCAAATGATAAATGGAATGTAAATCCATATAATATGAATGTCAAAAGAGAAGGCTTTAATTTGGAATGCACATCTCCAATGCATCCCTTTCAAAAGATTAAAATAGGTTAGATTTTTTATGAATTGGCTTTCAAACACTCTTTGGAAAACTAGAAAGTGGGCTTCACACTTTGGATATTTATTGTCTCCATATCAGCATAAAAGAGTCCATAACATTATGGATTGGAGAGTGATTTTTGTAATCACTTTATAACTTGATGATGTGGCTAACATTTTATTAAGTCAACATCACACATTGGAGATGCTCTTACAACATTGAAAATTCTTCCCATTCTGATTGTGCTATCTTTATCACCATATGCTGCGGAATTAAGGACTTTTGGAATATGAAAAGATTTCGTGACTTCCAAAGCCACCAAAGTATGTAAGTAGTGAGTTGGATTCTTGCTTAGTGACTTCAGATTTCTTTAGAGTGCAAATCTTGTACCACCAGGCTTTGAAAGAGTCCTTGCAGTCATCTGCCCCATCCCAGTAGACAAGACTTAGCTTCCAAATTGTTTCGGCCCTCTTACATGTTAGCAGTAAATGTTCAACAGATTCTTCCTCTGCACCACACATTGAACAGGTACTATCTATCTCCATCCCTCTTCTCCTTAATTGAACAGTAACAGGTAAAGTTCCTGAGATACATTTCCAAAGAAAATGTTTGACTTTACCTGGTATCTTTAGCTTCCATAATCTGAGTTTTGTTGAGCTTTTGTATGCTGAGTTGTTGCTGCTTTCTGGGTAGTCTGCTTTGAGGATTTTGAGTCTGTGAAGATAGGCATATGTGCTTGACACTGTGAAGTTATTGATTATTATCTCGACAATGGATGACTTTAAGCTGTAAATTCATTTTGATGAACTGTGATATGGAATAAATTAATTTTGATACCAAGTATATATACCTTTTAATTTTGATTTCTAATTTAATTCCAATATTTTGAAAATTTTAAAACATTTGTTTCAAAACCTTTAAAATGGGTAAAATATACATGATTCTCCCCTACTATATGAAATCTGCGCGTTTTCCTCTGGTATTTTAAAAATTGAATCAGACCCGCTTGTATTAACTAACTGTTGCACGATTCTGCCCTCTCCGTACAATCGTGCAGTACATATTTATGTAATGCGAAAATTAAACATTTTTTTCATATATTTTTTATTTTACAATTGAAATTACTATTTACTCCTGATTTTCTACCTATTATTAAGCAAAAATCACTACTCCTGGGATTCAATCATAGGCCAAAAGTTCAATGGGCAAGGCTTCAAACCACTCTGCCACCATCATTCTATTGTACATATCTAACACACATTTATTTAAAACTGCAGAACACAAGAAAACTAATCAAACAAAAAATAAAAAAATAAAATAATCACAANTGCTTTTGGCCATTTTTTTTTCCTTTTTATGCTAAAAATTTTTAACTCTTATTAATGATCTTGAAACTTGTAAAAAGATACAAGAAAATAAATTTTTCGGAAACGAAATCGAACTTAATTATCGTCTACAACCGAACATCGAAAAACTCAAAACTTGCGAATATAATTTCGAATATATTCTTAATAATATAAATAGACCTTCTTGTCTAAATAACTTCTACTTAATCCTTATAACTTATCAAATCATATAAGTCACATAAAATACTTAGGCAATTTATAACATTTACTCGACTAACTCAATTTAATGAAAAACGATTCTGATTTAACTTTAATGTCGAGCCAAATAAAATTCTAAGAGATTTATTAAGGCTTGAAAATATAAAAGATCATTGTTAATAAAAGTAAAATAGTTCTAACTTAGAACTGAAATAATTACTTTTATTAATTACTGAATGGGATATTACACTTTCTATTTAGTTGATGACTTCCTTGCCAATATTTATAATTTAGAATATAGTTACTTAAATATACATATTATAATGATAATTATAAATTATAAGTAATACAATAATTCATTATTTATATTTTATAAAAATTAAGTAAATAGATTCTAAATTATTAATATAATAATTTAGAATCTATTTACTCAATTTTTATAAAATATAACTATTGAATTATTATATTACTTATAACTAGTACAGTACCCGTGCGATGCACGAGGCTTTATTATTTTCATTTTTTTTAAGGCAATTTTGTATTTAAATTCAAATTATATAATAAAGCACCGATCATTGATTATAATTAAACCTAACAAATACTTATTATAGGATAAGCGTAATTATTTATATTTATCATGTTGGACTTGTAAAATAGGAATGTTTTTTAAAAATGTGGGCTTAAAAAAGTTCATATCGGCCCAATTTACAATGTTGGCTTCATTTTTCGCCGCTTCCAGTTTCTTCTTTCGTCTTTTTTCATTGATCTTCTTCCAACTTTTCCGTTCTAACACTGAGAGTCTTATAAATACATATTCTTTTTTAGTTTTCATCTAATTGATGCTTTAATTTAGTTTTAGGTGTTTTGCACAAAACAAAATATGGATTATTCAATTTGAGGGTTTTTATTTTCAATTTTTGTAGTTTTATGTTCGAATTTTTTGGTTTTTACGATTAACCAAAAGAATCCTTCGAATTTGAGTGTGTTTCAGTAGATTTTGTTAATTTTATTTATTTTTCCCGAAAAAGAAATGTGGAAATTTTAATTTTAAGGTTTTTATGTTCGATTTTTGTAGTTTTATGTTCGAATTTTAGGTTTTTACGATTAGTCAAAAGAACTCTTAGAATTTGAGTGTGTGTCGGTAGATTTGTTATTTTTTTAAGAACTCTTAGAATTTGAGTGTGTGTCGGTAGATTTGTAATTTTTTTATCGGCAAAATTATTTTGTTATACAAAATTTTTTAGCGTCCAAATGATTTTTTTTTTCTTTTAAAACTCAACTCGGCTGAAAACATACAAATTTGACAATTAATTATGTGATATCATTGATTTTGATGAATTGCGCACAATAATTATGGGTTATGAACTTGCAAGTTTTTTTTGTCCAAATTAATGAATGTTGATATCAATTAATTTTAAAAAGTATTGGTACTGAAATAAAACTCAAAATTTTTAAAGCATTATTTGTACTAAAATTGAGCAATTTGGTTACCAAAACTAAGTATCCGTGATTAAAGGCATATTTAAATTTCTCATTTAATAAATAAAAATAAAACAAAACTTGCCGGAAATGGTATGCAATTAATGTTGCCAGATTTTTTTGCTTACTATTTTTGGTAAATAGTAATTCTTATTTATATATATAGATTTATATCTATCATTATACTATTTATAATTTAGAATATTTTTACTTAATTATTATATTATTTATAATTTTAAATTTGTTTATTAAATTATGACAAAATCGATTTATTTAATTATTGTATTATTCTAAAATTTGTAATCTATTTTATTAATTATTATATCATTTATAATATAGAATATTTCTAATTCATAATATATTTATTTAATTATTCTATAGTATTAATTTAGAATCTATTTACTCAATTATTATATTTTATAGTTTAGAATATATTTTTTTAATTATTATATATTAGTAATTTATAATCTACTTACTTAATTATTATTTTATTTATAACTTAGACTTATTTACTTAATAATTACATTATTTATAATTTATTATATATATATATATTATTTATAACTTATAATCTATATATTTAATTATTAAATTATTTAGAATATCTATTAATATATAATACGGTTAAGAAAAATTGTTCAAAAAAAAACTCGAAAAAAATTATTTCGTTTTTCCGCTTTTTTAAAGTCATTTCTCTCTTTTATATTTGGTTTTTTACCAAAATCTTTCGGTTGTAATTTTTTTAAAAATTCGAATTTTTAGACTCTGCCATGCATTTCCAGTTTTTTGTGCCATGCAATTCTTATTTAATGAATATAATATCTACATCATGATTTGGTTTCAATTTTTTTCGGTTTGATATCCCTTTTTTTTGCCATGGATTTCCCTTATCTACAACACGATTAGATTTCAAATCTTTTCAGTTCACATTACAATCCGATTTTAATTCGGGATTCAAAATTTGATTAGATTTTTTTAAATATGTAAAAAAAAGAGAATCCCCTCTCTCTCTCTCTCTCTATATATATATATATATATATGTATATCTTAACAAATTTGTGATGAGTTGAATTTTAAATTCAATTTAATATTAACAAATGTATATTTTATGTAAATAAAATTTAATAAAAAAACAAAATTAAAAAGATTGTGTGGTAACATTTTTCGAAATAAATAAATTATGGGAAGGTGATTTTGTTAGCAAAAAATTCAAAGAATTTTGTTTGGGTTCAAATTTTGAATACGTGTATGAGTAGTTATAGATAAATGAATCCAACATATTCTAACTTCCAAAAAATAAGGAAACACATTTCCTTATTTAAAAATTCAAATTCAAGAATGTGAGGAGTTGAATTTTAGATTTAATTTGAAATTAACCACTAATGTATAT